CAGAGCACTTCGTCAGCCTGGCTAGGTTGCCTGGGCACCTGAAGTTTGTCTCCAGCAGTGTTTACTCAAAAGAATAAATAGTAGTTTCCAGGGTGACATGCAAAGGCAGGGAGATGTAGTCATTCATTTACAGCTGGAAACTATTATTTAACTCATAATAAATATTGAGCAAACTTCTCTTCATTTTCAGCCCAGGATGAGGGCACCTGCTTCACAATTCCTGGCAGTTGTCGGTACAACTGAACATTAAGCTGGCGTATGCTATCGGGGCCGAGGAAGTAAAGCAAGCTGTCGGCTGGGGGCTAAAACCACAGGCTTTGGCTCTTCTTCCTTCTAAAAGTGAAACAGAAAGCCACCACGCCACCAGACAACTGCTTTGCTCTTCAGCTCCCAGGCAATGCTACCGCCTTACAGGGTTCCTCGTTCTGTGTGGGATTCTCACTCACAGCAGAGCTAAGGATTTCAAAGGAAATCGTATCACTAACGTAACAAGAGTGTGGGCTCCATCATCGTTCCTTGCCTCCACTTTGTCGGCCCTGCCTCTAAGTGTTTTGCGTACATTTCCTGTAACCTTCATGACAACCCTATGCGGCATCACTATGGTTCCACTGAACCCTTGACTGAACAAGAGCCCCGGTGGCTGACACCCTGACTCTGGAGGCTCACCTCGTTTTAAAGGGTGGTGGGAAGGTTCCTAAAGGCTCAGTGGAACCATAGCGATTATCCTTATTTTACAAATAGGATGCCAAGTCCCAGAGATGTTAAGCAACTTTGCCAAAATCACACAGCTGGCCCCGGGTCCATACCACAGGTTTTCCTGCTTCTTTTGATAAATATAGGTAATAACTGTGAGCTTTAGATTTCCTGTTTTGGCTTCTCACCAGTGGTGCCATCTTGGGCTACTAAGTCTCGCTGAGCTCCCATTTCCTCATCTGTCAAGTAGGGACTGGAATAGTGGTCGTAGAGGGTTGCTGCCAGGAGCAGAAGTAACGAGTAACATGTGCCCAGGCAGGGCCAGTGCCCGGCACATGGTTGATGATCCATAAGTGTAAGTACAAATGATCCCTTGATGGTTTGATTTAACAGGCTTTTTCCACTCTACAGTGGGTTTGTTGGGAGGTAATCCTGTAGTGTGTCAAGGAACATCTGAGTTAAGATAGCTTGATTTACAATTTCAATTTCACCATGGGTTTACCAGGATATGAATATTTTATCAGGATATAAACCTGATGCATCTTGGTATTTTCAGCTTGCTGCGGGTTTATCTGGACATAACCCTCACCATAAGTCGAGGAGCCTCTGTGGTTACTACTACTGTGAGCATTGCTGTTATCTTTGCACTCTTGTATTTCACTGAATTCTCACACACTCGCATACGCACATAAAACTGTGAGGTAGGTGGGGCAGCTGTCACTAACCCCGTTTTATAGCTGGTGTATCAGGTGATGAAGCTTGGGCAAGAACCCCCATCTCTTGACTGCACTTTGTGCGCTGTCTAATCTGACTTGCTGTTTCCTGTGGGACTGCAGGCCACACCTATCCATTTCTAGACACCAAACACGGTTGCTGTCTAGAAAGATTGGAGCAAGGAATTCAATTCTTGTCACTTTCCCTTTGTTTCCAGGCCCGGGGCTTGGCTGAGGACGGAGCCAGGCCCTGCCTGTGCCCTCCTGGGAATTGCTGAGACAGTTAATGCCTCTTGGAACAAGTAAAGTACTAGCTTAAATGAATCACGAGCTCATGTGTGCCCTTAAGATTTTCTTTATTGTTGAGGTCAAAAAAATACTTATTTTCTCATCATCACCAAATGCAAATGCATAGCCCCACCTCATGCCTCACTTCCCCCAGTTGGGGTGACCTCTGAGAACATATCCAACACTCTTGTTCGCAGAAGGCATTCTGCACCTATAGCTGGAAGCAGGAGAGGAAGGGGCCAAAGGTCCTGGGTGTCTTGGACCTCTGCCTTCTTTCCGTAGCCTTCCTAGCTCTGCCTTTCCGGTGATTTTCACATTTTCCCTTCCATTTTACTTTCAGAAAATCTCTGGGGACTGCAGCTTTTGTTCTGTTGCTTCACGTAATTCCCAGGGCTGGGAATGAAAATTATTTCCTTTCACAACTTCTGGCTGAGTGCCTTTCACAGCCCAGCTGTGTTCTGGGGTGATTTATAAACTGCAGGGTCCGGGTCTTTTTCCTCCTCCTCCTCCTCCTCCTCCTCCTCCTCTTCCTCCTCTCTTCCTTCTCCTCTTCTTCCTCCTTCCTTTCTCCTTCTTAAAACAAGGTGAGCCTCCAGAGTCAGGGTGTCCGCCACTGGGACTCTTGTTCAGTCAAAGGTTCAGTAGATCTCCATAGTGATGAGAGCATGAAGCCATTCATTCCTGTTAGAAGAAGACAGAAATAGGCCTCAAGGCCGAATTTATGTCTCTGAGAACAAATTTGACCCAAAATCTCTAAGTTTAGGGTTGGCTTTGAACTAAGAATATAAAAGCATATTTTCCAAACTTGTCAGGATTATGTTTTATTTCTAGACTTTTATTCTCAAAGGGATGTTGAGGAAGAGACACAGCTTAGGCAGTTTTGAGCTGAGAAATGAAGTCACTTTTCTCTGCTGCCATATAACTAAGTAAGGGAAAAATTAAGCCCAAGGGTTCATTTAACCTGTTATAACAAAACACAAAAACCAGACGGCATAGTGTCATTTGCAATGTGATGTGTCTTTGTCGGAACTGAAGGCTGTCGCCGGTCGGCTGCCCTCACGGAGTCCCCATCTGCCCCTGCACTCCCTGCAGGTGTGTTTTCATCAGGAGCTGAAAGAAGACAGAGGGGTGAGCAAGTGATCAAGCCTCAGACTGTCTGTCAGGCAATGGGGTTCCATCTGGGCCAGACCCCGGGGAACATGTGAAGACACTATGGGCCTCCTTTTCTACTCAGCATGATCCTGGACATGAGGAGGTCTTCACAGCCCAGACAGGCCACTGCCTTGTGGCTGTGTGACTTCTTTGAACTGCCCTGTGCCATCTTTTTGGTCACATCCAAATCTTTGCCTCTGTATAACTCACACAATAACACCAAGTCTCCTTGTCTTCTGGCCCGTGACTGTCTGTGAATTCTGAGAAGCAGTGTCACGGAGGCTGAAGGTCAGAGCCAGCATTGCCACTGCTTGCCTGTAACCCTAGACGAGTTACTGAAGCTCTCTGGGCCTCAGTTTTCCTCACCTGACAAATGGAGAAATAACATCTACCTCCCAGGGTTGTTATGATCATTAAACTAGATGATTTATACCAAGTGATTCACACAATGCCCCACAGAGCACAAACCCAAAGATGCCAATTAGTATTTCTAAGCATGGGAGGAAGCCCAGGGAGAAGGCCCTGGAGAAGTCTATTCTCTCCCTCCCGCCTCGACTGTGAGCCGAGGCGGGAGGGAGAGAATAGAATCAGAGACGGAATGAGATAGAGGCCAGGTAGAGGACACTGAATCCATCTCCTACCGCATTCCCTGCGGTTTCCTTTGGAAAGGCAGCGTCTGAGATTTTAAAGTCATATATCATTCCCACTTCCTTTTTTAAAAATATGAATCATTGTCCCAGAAACATTCAAGTTCAGAGAGGTGCATGTGTTAGGTCTGAGGCTCATGTATGCCTGGTGTTCTAGAAAGCGGGACGTTAAGAGAGGCTCCTGTCTTCAGCCTTCTCTTCCCAAAATAATGGATGGCTTTTTTTTTCACTATTATGGGCTGTTAGCACCTCAGACTTCTTCCTGAACCTGGGTTAGTGATCGGTTTTAAGATCCTAAGAGCACAAACGGTTAGACTGAAACAGGCTCCATTCACTAATGTGCTGCTCATTGAGGAACGTTAAGTGATAACATACATGTGGAAACTTTGGAGATATGAGACCTCTCCCCAGTCTCATCTCAGTCTCAGGCCCAGGATGAGGTGACAGTTGGAGAGAGGGCCCTGGAACAAAGAAATGGGGGGTTCCTGGGACATGTAGGGCCATGTCACTGAGGCAACTTCCAGCAAGGATGTACAGGAAGGGTTTAGTTCACGCATAGATTGGGACCAATCTGAAAAAGAATCAAGGTTCATGAAACTCACAATTGCAACATTTTATAGGGTATGGCCCACCAGAGTTAGCTAAGTGCAGATGCCATTAGCTAGCTACCGGTTCATCTGATTCCTATTATATATTCTCTCTCTTGCTCTCTGACATACACACACACACGACTGAATTATATTCAGCAGTATTTTATGCTCTTTGGAAATTGTTACTTATTCAGATATAGAGTGTTTTGTTTTTGCTTTTTGCTGATTCTCTACTATTTTTATTATTCCCAATACCCTCAGCTCTTTCATTTTGAATTATAGAGTTATTGCAGTATTATAGTTTTTTGAGATGTAAAAACTATTACAATTAGAACGAAATTTTTCAAAAATGGAAACCTGCAGGTTAAATTATAAGGATAGCGTGTTTGTGAAATTTGGGTTCCATTTTGTTTTGCCATCATAGCAAATAGAGAATGAGAAGACCTGGTTGTCTGCCTCCACATCCATCGCCACTCATCAGCACTGCAAAGGGCAGCTGAACTCTCCCCTCTAACACTCCTCTGTGCCCCAGTTTCTCCAGATGTAAAACAACACTACACATCTGTCTCCCCCTCAACTCACAGAAATGTCATAAGAATCTTTGAAAGAAAAAAATCTCCACAAAACAGTGTTGTGATCCCAGAACTCACTTGTTTTCTGTCTTTGTGATTGTATGAAAAGTGGAGGTTACTCTAGTAAAAGTGAAAACTGAGCTGGAAAGGGCTGCAATTGCTAAAATGAGCAGGAATACGGTAAAGGAAACCATCCCCTGTACCCAGCGGCTGTCAGGCTGTGTTCATGATCTGCTCTCGTTTCCTGAGAGCACCATGATTTCTTTGTAACCAAGATAAATAATCTATTTTCTGGCTTAACCTCTCATAAGGTATTTTGGAAATAAGCTCAACATTAGGAAATAATATTTTACAGGTCTCTTAGTCTCCTCTTTATTCAACACTCTTTAATTTCCCCCTCCCCTTGCAATTTCTCCTCTCAAAAATACAGCTTTTCAGCATCGATTCATCTCTGCTGCCTCATAGCAGATTTTTCCTCTCTTGTAGCCTAGCCATTTTTCATTTTTCTCACTTGTGTCTTAGCCGGATCTTCCATCTCCTCCATTGCTACTCCTATTTCCTTTAAATTCATTTTCCTCTTTCCCTTTTCTCTCCCTAAAGAGAGAACAGATGACAGACAGAAAGGACAACCAGCTAGGATCGTGCTGAGAAAATGAACCGCACAGCGCATCGAAAGTTGGACAGGCCAAACCTGACTCCATCAATTTGAGTTGATGCCTCTGACAATTCAAACAAGACTTGGTCAGCACAGAATTGCAAGGCTGTCTTGGAATTTTCACACATATATATTTGACATTCTACTCCAATTCAGTTCCACAATCCAGATGCTGGAGGAATTTTGTTTACTTGAGACGAATTCTCATCCATCATCTTTTGCTCCCACATGACCATTGCTCACAAGCCCCAGGGACTGCCTCAGAGTACCATCATTTTGTTACAGTTAATGCTCATTGTTGTGCACAGTTGGGAAATGTAGCCTTCTGGTTAATAACATTTTCTGGTTAGTAGAAATGACAAGGTACATCTTCCATGAATTGCTGACATCTAGACACCTAGGATACTCTAAACACCAAAGCTAACTTGAACGAGTTTAGTCTTTCTTGGAAAATTCAGAGGAAACTTCAGGACTCATGAGACCTCAGGGGTCCCAAAGATGTGTTGTAGAGGTGGAGAGTATTAGCATAACTGGGATTTTCATCTGATACCATGTAAAATTGGTTTGAGGGTGTGTAATAGCACAAGTCACATGGGAAACAAGGGTACCATGTGAAATGCATTATATCTGTTTAAAATTTTCCGCTTTGGGGGGCCGAGGGCTGAGGTAGGGGGATCATGAGGTCAGGAGATCGAGACCATCCTGGCTAACATGGTGAAACTACACCTCTACTAAAAATACAAAAAATTAGCCAGCCATGGTGGCATGCACCTGTAGTCCCAGCTACTCAGGAGGCTGAGGCAGAAGAATCACTTGAACCTGGGATATGGAGGTTGCAGTGAGCTGAAATTGTGCCACTGCACTCCAGCCTGGGCAACAGAGTAAGACTCTGTCTTAAAAAAATTCACTCCTCTGTATTAATATGTGTTTAAGTGTTCAAAGGAAAGAAATTCATGACCTGCCAAATTACAAAACTATATGCATGATAATTCCATTTTTGTATCTACACATACACACAGCCTCCCATACACAAGTCAGGGAAGATATGACCCACATTTTAATAATAGTCTCTCTGGGTGATGTAATTATAGGTGCTTTTGTTTTCTTCTTTTGGTTCATCTGTACTTTTTAAAAATTAAATATTTCTTCTATAATACAAATAAATAAAAATAGTCTTTAATTGGACAAATCACATAGTCCAGTATTAAAATCAGCACAGAAATCTATCTCAATATAGATCAAGAACAGATTAAATGAAAAAAATGGTTGCAGAAGGCATCTTCCCATTTGGAAAACACCTATCACGTGAGATTGTCAAACACAAACTTGGAGGCTGGGGAGCTGGGGGTGGCAGTGGCTGCAGCGACAGCCACATGGAATGTGAGGAAATGCTGTTGCCTTGGGGAATAGAGGTGGGGTGCAGGTCACCGCCTGTTACCACAGGCAGGCTCTGTGAGTCCTACACAATAGGAAATGGGGTAACAAGAAGGATTTTTACATTTGCCATTTAGATAATCCCTTCGTGGCATTTCTGCATCTATTTCTAACCTTCTAAACAGAATAAGATATGGAAGACCACATCTTGGTTTCAACACTGATTTTCCATGACTAGGGTGGTGGGTTTGGCCTGAGCCTGAAATCAGACACTCAGTCGTCTCCAAGGCCCTGCACCCCGATGGCTTCACCCCACCCATGGCTTCAACCCATCCTGGTCCTTGGCAGCACAGGGCTTGTGCCACCATCCCCCTTTCCCCACCCCAACCTGGTCCTGTGTGGTCTCCACTTGTGCAGAGCCCTGTACCCCTCCCGCTTACTTCCATGTCAGTTTTCCCAGCATTCACCCCCATCCTAGAAAAAGGACAGGGGAAGTGTGAACACGGAAAAGAGACACAAATTCCAAAAATGAAATTTTAGGGGAAACTCTACCAGCAAGTGTAGACTTCTACCCTAGTGATACAAAGAATGCAATGGCATTTCCAGGATGAAGGAGGAGTGGTATTCTAGGATCATCCTGCCTCTTTCCATCCATGGGCAAAAGAGGCCAAGCCATGAAGGAAATAAATTCCCAGCTTCCAGGAGTCCCCACATTTTCAAGAGACCAGAGCAGATACTTGCCTATTCTCATTTCTGCTGTCATGTGCACCTTGTCTAAGAGGTTTTCCAAGTCCCAGTGTGTGTTTCAGCATCACTTGTGCACACCGTCACTCTGGAGCGCCTGCACAAGGCTGGGAGCCTGACTTCCCATGTAGATTCCTCTGCCCCATTTGTCTAAAGCTCTTTGCAACAGACTATACTTTAAGGAAAAAAAAGCACCTCTGCCGTACCTCAGTACCTCTTACAGTTTTGTGTTAAGACCCATATATTTGTTAAGTGAATGAATGACCAAGTGACTCAGTGTTCGCACACCCAACACTCTGCTGTTTTCAGATCTCATCTATTTCTCAAAGCAACCCTGTGAATCCTGCCTTCAGGATGAGAAAAATGATGTGAAGAGGATTGCCCGAAGTGACACACAGGTCACTGAATGCCAGGACCTGGAATTCTGATTTCAGTCTAATGCGCTTTCCATCACGATGGTGATCCCCAAGGCGGCTGGCTCATCAGAATCCCCTATAAAGTTGGTTAACGAACCAGCATCACAGCCCTACTGCAGACCTGCCAAATCCCACTCAGGTGAGGCTCAGCTGTCTCTACTGTCAACAGGTTTTTCCACAGATGGTCCGGCTGCCCTCCCCACTATGCCGCCTGTGTCCACCAGCTCTGATTTAACATTTGGTCGATGTTATCCAGGGTGACAACACAAAACTTCAAGGCTAGCCCTGACACTGAAAATCCTATGTTCCTCCATTAGTCACCTCCTTGTGTGTGAAGAGTCCATTTCCACCTCCCAGGATCCTTCTTCTGTGGGAGCTGGGTTAACAGCTCAAATTCTAGAAAACCCGAGGTTAAAAATAGCTGTGACACTCATTAGCCGCAAGGGGGAAAGTTCAGCAAAGTTTGACAGCCGCACTTAGGAAGGCCTCAGAGAGGCTAACAGGGACCCAGCCTTCCTTAGAAGCCTGGCTCCAAACCAGCTGGGGCCCCACTAATTGGCCACGGCTGGGAAAGGTGCTTGTATAGTCACGACTCTGTAAAGCAAGGGGCAAGCTCCCTGGCAATTAAGTGACCACAAACCCATCCAAGAATTACTCATCAGGGGGACTGCACATGGTGGGAAAGCTCTTCCTGTTTGGAAGAGTGAGTAAAATTTGGAGGGAATCAGCAACCCGGCCCCCTCCAGCAGCAGACCACTGAAGTCTAACCCCATCAGGAGAGAGACCCACACCACTCAGGTTCTCCAGAGGAACAATTAGAGGTTGCTTGAGAAGTCCCCCAAGCTGACTTAACCTGCCGCGAACCCAGCAAGCAAACGTCCTCTGACTGTGATTTATAAGGAGGAGGTCACCTCCAGAGAGGGGCCTGGGCTACTTGCCTAAGTGCTGTGTGCAGGTCAGCCTGGAAACCATAATTATCATCATCAGGAGGATCAGTCAGGAGACAAGTTGAAGCAAGTTGAAATTTGAAAAACACATTAACACGGGCTTGACGAGATGCCAGAAGAGTCTGCCAGCAGGGACAGCTGGAAGGCCAATTTCTGAGTCAATACTGAAAGGTGGTTGCTTAAATATCTGAGTCAACACACACTGATTTCTCTCCGGCTCAATACTCCTGTTTAATTGCACTGGGGAGTCTCCCCACTGACACATCTAACACCAAGATACATAGTTGAGTGAAAGAAAAGCGCTTCATTGAAGTGCAAATGAGGTCCTTCGTGGAGCCTGCAGGCCTGGGTCCCGCTGAGCACTCCCTACTGCCCTGGCATAAGGTGGCTAAGCCTTGCAGGGACTCCATGTGCCCCCCTTTTTAAAGAGGGTTGAGAGAGAGGGGTGAGCCCCAGGCCTCAGCTGGCCTGCAGAGAGAGGTCTAGGTGCACTGCAGTTGCACCGGCCGCCAAGGCTCTGAGATACTGTTTCAGGATCCATGGTCCTCTCCAGGGAGAAGGGGCAGGAGTGCCTGTTTCCCACCCAAGAGAGCTAAGTCAGATGGAAGGGTGTGCAACTGGAAAGCCATCACATTTGGCAGCCAGGTGACCACCTGGCGAGGTTGGTGGCAGAGATGATGAATGAAGCAAGTCTTGAATGTCCGCCCAGCTGCCTGGAGCCTGGGAAGCAGGCGGTCTCTGAAGAGTCCTGACAGGCCATGGCTACTGATGGAGACACCTCCTCATTGTGATGCCCACATAGGGGCGGGGCAGGATGGCCCAGGGGTAGTGGCGAAGGCGGGGGCTCCCACCGTGACCCTCTGGCAGCCTTCACTGACTTCAGAGCTAAGCATGATATAGGAGACCTAGCTGGACCTGAAAACCCATGAGAACTGGGACCCGAACCACAGTGAAGAGGCAGGTCCCATGAGCAGGTGGCATGAGTCTGCCACAGCTAAATTCTACATCTGCTGCCAACTGTCAGAGATAAGGAAGAAGTCCATGTCATTGGTAAACCCAAACCCAAATTACTGGGGCACATCGTGAAAAGGTAGTTTCTGGTTCCGTACGTCTGAGTGTGGGTGGCTTTGGGTCCAGTGGCACTCTTGGTGCACACCAGTCTGTCATGCACCCACAGTGTGAGAGGGATTCCTCATGAATACCCCTGCTAATCACACCGAACAGAGATCTGCTCAGATGGGGCCCCGAGAATCTGAGAGACACATGGCTGTGCCATTGTCAATCCAAGAATTTCAAGTTCAGTGGCCACCACTTAGGGAAACTATGGAATTGTCTCGGTCTGATGCTCAAAACGAACTCACAGGGACATGATCTGCCTAAGACAAACAAGTGTGAAATGAAGATCAAATGCTATTTCTTCCATTTACTAGTTGTGGGACCTTATGTAACTGTTGTGTAAATAAGATATTGTGGGTAAAATGCCTGTCACAAAGTAGCTGCCAAAAAATGCCAGTTCACCCCCCAAAACTGAGGTGGCCTGAATTTCTCTCTCTACTTGGTGTTGCTTTATGTCCTGGAAAGCCACAGTTAGAAGAGGTGCTGAGGAATTTCTGTCTCTCACCTCTAAGCAAGACACCCAGCCCTGCCCAGTCCTGCTGGTCCCTGCGGAGGGATCTCCCCATCTCCCATGCAGCAGAAGTTTGAAAAATGAATTTGTTCATCTTCCTGGAGCATATGGAGTTTTTAGAGCTTCCCTTCTGAGCTGTTTATGAATCAAATGGCAGAGCCATTCTCCCTCTGAAGGTCCCCAGGAAGCCCAGCAAGTCCTCACCTAACCCTCGTTTCATGCTGATGCTTTTTTGCACATCAATAAGCAGTCTCAAGGCCAAGACTGTACCAGGCCCCCACCCACCTGTCTGACTTCCCCCCTGTGGCTCCCTTCCTCCTCCAGCCCTTTCCAGGCACACTGGTCTTCTTGTCTCCTGTGAACTTGCCAAGGCTGTTCCTGCTTTGGGCACAGCACTGCATGGAAGCCCCCACCCAGGTAGCCACGCGGGGGCTCTTCCTTCATTCAAGTCCCGGCTGAAATGCTGCTCCCTCTCAGAAGGCTTCACTGGCCCTCTTCTCCACTACTCAGTTTTATTTTCTTCTTAACATTCATCACTACCCCAACCATCTTATTTGTTTAGTTACCTGTTAATTGTCTGTCTCCCTCTACTAAGCCGCAAGCTGCCCAAAGGCAGGGACCTCATATGTTTAGTTAATAAGCATCGCGGATCCCAGGACAGTGACTGGATGCTTTGCCCATTCCTGCAACAGCAACACTTTTCCAAGGAACGCTATCAAGTGGATCTATGAGTGTTATAATTCTATGATGCAATAGGTTAGACGACTATTCAGGGTTTTGGGCTTTGCCAGAAATATGCAACTCCGGGAGGGAGAGGAGTGGGGAGAGGAGGGATATGCCTCTAGGCAAAGGCAAAAACTTTGCTTTGAGCTTCTCATGTCCCAGAATCCAAACGTCCATCTGACCGCAGGATCAGAGTGAGAGAAGTTTTGCTCTGTCTTCTCCCACCTGAAATCAACAGGAGGCTGCTATTCATTGCCTCAATCTCAGGTTCTAGGATCAAGCTAGAGGGAAGCCTTCGGGCATCAGGGCAGTGCCAACACCAAGCACTCAAGCAACGCTCAACTTTAGAGACATTGTCTAATAAAGATAACGAGAGCTGGACTTTTCATATGGATTTTTAGGCTGTTCTAACTCATCACATGGATCTTTCATTTGTCTTAAGAAATTGTCTCAGTGACCAGAGATGGTTTTTAGAAAATGCATGAGCTGTGATCCTCTCTAACAAACATACACTGTGGCTATGCCTTGTTTAACTCCACACGGATCACCTAGCATGGGGGTTCTAGAAAGGGATGGGGGAGCTGCTGCTGCAGGGGTTCATTTTGTCCACCCATCCCTGGTTCCTCATGATTCCTTCGTGACTCCATACTCAAAACCAAGCCTTGTCAGTCCTGAGAATGGCTCTGGCTCTGAGGTAGACGAGTGACTACCAAGGCAGCCCAGAATAAGCACAAACGAAGCAAACTCTCCTGTCCTTACGACCCTCAGGACAAAGTAGAGAAGAGGGTAACTGGGCTATTGGAAATGTCAGCGCCCTGAGGTCCCCGTAAAGCACCAGATGGTGCAGGAACAGGAAGTCTCAGCTTTCCTTAGTAAGATGAGGCAAGCTACTCGGGGCCACACTGTCCAGAGAAACTTTGTTTTGTGGATGCGCAGAAAGCAACAAGTTTTTCTGGTATTACAGATTCTTTTAGAAGTGAGTATAGAAGGCCTGCCAGCATGAGAGCCCCTGGGGCACCTGCAATGGGGGAGCTCAAAACAAAAGTTTATTCAAAATACAGCGAGCAAGTCAGTAGTGTCCTGCCCCAGGACCCCAAACTCTACCTACGCTATCCCTTTCCGGCTCTTTCTCACCACCCATGCAGTGACCTCTGAAGTGTCCAATTCTCTTTATGAGCAAGGCAGGGCTGGAAGTATTTTAGACTGGGCCTGCTGCACTCACCGTCTGCGTCTGCTGCGCCTCTGTCGGGGAGCAGCTGCTGACCGTCAGCATACCTCATGATGGCAACTGTTCTCCTGTCTTGATTTCCCTGAGCACTTGCTTCTGCTAAAAAACCATGAGAGGAAGGAAAAGTGAGGACGGTTGCATGAGCAGGCTTCATGGCAGCCAAACTAGGAGATTTTTTTTTTGATGCCTCTGAACATCGGCTGTCCTGGGAGGTTTCCCACAGGTGTCCATCATGTGCAGGACTGGACGGAACCTCCAGCTGTTGGATGTCGTGCTACGGAGGCTGAAGGACATTTAATGTGTTTCATGGACTCATTGCCTAAAACAAGGAAATGCACTGTCTGAGGGCAGAGTGGAGGAGTGGAGGCTCATTTGAGGAAGTGCTCTCCTGGGTGCTATCCTTTCTTGCTCCTGCTACCTCTGGGTCCCTGCGTGCCAGGGTAGGGTGGAGCACAAGAAAGACCCTGTAGGGCCCTTTCTTCTGCATTGCTTTGGCCTTAGACATAGTTCTGAATGCTGACTGCACGTAAGAATCACTGAAGACCCTCGCTCCTGCCCCTCCCTAAGAATCCCCCAGAAATAATGTGTGTCCCATGGGAGATAATCTAAGGAAACAGACCAATGTGGAGAGAGCATCAGTGGACACAATGGTGTTTCCATGTCCCCCGCCCCGCCCCACAATGGCTTTGAGAGACTCTATCTTGCCACGTCGAGATGTCAATTGTCACTGGGAGAAAACATCCTGGCCCCCAGAAGTTTAATGGAGTCCCTTAGGAAGTGGTATCTGCATGAGGTCTCCCCTGAGAGTTCCTGGCCTTCCTGCTGGAGCCCCTCCACATGCTGCGCTCCAGGGTAGATGAAGGCGGACAGGGAGAGACAGACTCACCCTCCCCCAGAGCCTGGTGGCTGAGGCTCACAGCGGGATATCCAGGGCTGCTGGGGAAAGGGACAGGGGGCTGGGAAATGTGCAGAAGCATGAAAAGAAAGGGCTGGATCTTTCCTTCCTTCCTGGGACCACATGTATGTTTGTGCAGTTTTCTCTACATGGAGGCACCTGGCCAAGGGGTTCAGGGTGAGGACTGACGTCAGCCCAGACAGAGGGTGGTCGTTTTCTTCTAGAAGAAGCCATGTCTGGGGGGTTGTCGACCCCATAGCCCACAAAGGGGTCCTTGTTGTTAATTTGTACAGAGGCACTGTTTGGGGCCTCGGGGGACGGGGTGGGGGAGTGCTGCTATCCCTCGCCCTCCCTCCCTCCCCTTTCTCAGGCTCCATTCTGAGGGCTCCCAGTCAGGCACCCTTCCTCACTTTCTACTCCGAGTTGCTTTTCCCTAGCTCAGAACTGAAAGTGGGTTCGATTCTACTGGTTCCAACCTTGTTCCAGAATACTGTTTCTCTAAGAAGTGTGGGAACCCTCAGTGGGCAAGTGGGAGAGAGCAGTATGGGGTCAGAGCCAGGCACAGCTGAGACCCATCCACCCTGTCCTGTGCCAAAGCCTCCAGCCCGGCCTTCTCCTCTCCAATGACCATGTGGCATGATGCCCCTCCCACTTTACTCTGTCCATTTCTGATATCGAAGAAGAGAAAAGGGGGAAAAGTTTGTTTGCTTTCTCTCTAGAAACCCTCTGTGCTGTGAGGCTGGCATGAGGGTAGGAGGGAGGGGGAGATATCAGAGGATGAGCTGCCCAGAGCCTGGAAATTCTGGGGCTAAAAGTTCTAATGAGGACTGCACCTGGTCCTTATTGCCAAAGTTATTTCCTGTTTTTTATTTAGATCTTTGTATCTCAGTGTCCACATCAGTAAAATGTGGATCTAAATAAAAAACAATAAACCAACTATGGCTTACAGGGATGCTAAGGTGAGCTGATATTAGAATGAAAGCATCATTACAACGATTTTAAACGTTCTTCAAATCATCTATCTTTTCTTTGGGATAGCCTCACTTTTTAAAATAGTCATTATAATCCACATGCCCTAAAGACACATTCTGCATGTAATAGCTGTGTAAATAAGCAACCTCTGGACTTTGAGATTCCCCTGTGGGCCTCTGGAGTGGCTAAAGATTAGCTCCTGTCAGAAGGAATTCATTCCCTTCTTGGAGGTTCAGAAAGGCTTGCCTCCTACTACTGGGTTTCCCCTTCAGGTCAGCACTTCCATCTTAGGCTGCAGCTAAGAGATCCTGAGTGTGTGGGATGGATCAGCCTTGTGATGGAGACCTCACTGTTGGATTCTAGCTTCTTTGGGAGACACCATGAGCCAAATGGTAATCGGTCTAGATTAGCACTGGGTTGTTTTACCCTAAACTCCCACCCTCTTGTCAGTCCTGGAGCTGGGTGAGTCACGAATTTTGTCCCTCGTCCCAGTTTTGGAAGCTAGAACAAAATGTGGAAGGCAAAAGTTTCCAGCATGTGAGGAAGACTGTGTTGGAGCCTCTGAAGCTGGGGAGCAGAGAAAGCACTCACAAATAAGAGCTGCATGGGAAATGCCCAGAGAAGAACCTCGAAGACTAATGTATGTAGAACTCTTTAGCTGGATCTATCGGCCCAGCTCAAAGAACATCATAATAACCAGGATGCAAGAGAAGCGTGTTCAGGGCAAGATGGTTGAACTGAGCCTTGGAGCATGGTGGTGGGCAGGGACACTTCCTGTGTTGACCCTGCAGACACTGAACATATCTAAAGTAATTAGTGGAAAAACTTCTCAACACTAATGACAAGGCTTCTCTTTTTCGCTTACCCTTGTGATCACGTGCGGTTTTAGGTCTCCCCATGATCTCATCCTCTGTGGCATTCAAGTTCTGGATCAAAAAGTATGTGGTCATTTTCCCTTTACCTTTCACTTCGATTTCACCCCTCTCAATGATTTGAAACCCTTGATTTTTCAAGGCTCTGCACAGAGAAAAAAAAAGTGCATGAGATATCAAAGACTGTGGGTCTGTAACTCAAGAGTTGTCTACGATGCACAGGCAACTCAAGAGACGTGCAGGATGCAGGACAAACAACAGCAGAGCAGGGAGGATCCCAGACACCAGCCTGCTGAAGAGGAACATAGGCCACGTACAAAGTCAGGGTGAGATTCTCAACAAGATGCCAAAGGCCAAAAGTGAGCACAGGGACTCACCAAAACCCTGCCAACATTGCCACTAATTTCCCTCTCTACAGCTCACTCCTCATATGGCATCTCTCACGTTTCTACACACCATGCTGTCAGTGCCCCTGTGGACACCACCCTTCGTGGTTCTGCCACGTAAGGCTCTTGGGTATCAACACTCTTCTTTCCATCTTCCCCAAGTGCATCACATACCCCACACCTGCTACCGTGCTCATCCTAACTACCCAAACTTGCTCCACCATAATTTCTGTCTGCCAACCAACTGAAGAGGACGACTGTAGGGTAGGGACCATGAAAAGAGACAGAGCTATGGGGTAATTACAAGGTGTTTCCCCGTTGATTTATTTACTGTCCACCAAGTGATGGAGAAAAGGCAAAGAACCCTCTGACCAGTGAGGATTCAAATTCACGACCACCTGCCTCGGCACTCCATCGAGGCCTCCCTTGTCGTTGGCCAGGTTGGTGGAGAGTTCAGACCTTCACCACACTCCTTTTGTGCCCCCATTTGGCATCTGCTCCCCTCACTCACAGGCTGGTGACTGTGCCTCCCACTTTCTGATCTGATTCATCTACAACATTACAGTAATTACAGATGAGAGCCTGTGACTTCTCACCCCTTGACTACATCACCCTTCTCCCCAGTCTGTGAGAATGAGGTGTCTTTCTTGCTCAGGGGCTCCTCATCCATGCCCTGTTCCCACCACTTCTGGGCCTTGCTCCATCGGCCACCCCACCCTTATCTTCAGCTCCCTCTCCATTTGCCTCTCTCCTTCTGCTTGTCAGTGTGCTTATGTCTCTTTCATCCTAAACAGAAGCAAACCAACAGCTTCTCACCTGCTTTAACCCCATACGAGTTTTCTCTTCTTTTTATTCTTCAGCCCAAGGTCTATCCCACCATTTTACTACAACCACTTTTGATAACCCCCAGAACCTCTAGTGGGTATTTTTCAGTCCTTATTACCACATTTGACATTGCTGTTCAATTCCTCCTTCCTAAGTCATCCATGAGAATGCTTCTCACCCTAAACGCCCCTGGTCCTATTTCTTCTCCTGCCTCTCCCATGGGCTCCTCTTCCTCCCGTGCCACTTAAATGCTGGTTCTGTGTAGGATTCCATTCTTTTCCCACTGTTCTTTGCACACTGCATCCTTCCCTGGGTGATCTCATCAACTCTCATGACTTTACCACCTATATGTTGCTTACTCTAAGTCTGGATCTTCAAAAACTGAACTCCAAACTTCATGCATGCATTTTGTGCGACCTCTAGCTGAATGTTCCACAGTTTCTTTGAACCCAGTGTGTCCAACCTAAACTCATTGCCTGCCCCTATGAGCTGGGATACTTATTTGTCCTATTGCAGGTGGCGAGGCCATCATTCAAGCCCTAGTCACCCAGAATGGAGACCTGGGCTTCTCCCTCCTTCTCCTCTCCCATTTCTAACTAGTTTAGCTGGTTTTACTTCCCCCATATTCCCGCCACTAATGTTCTGATTCAGACTAAACTCCTAACAGGTCTTGTCTATCTCATTTTCTGATTCTCAAATATGTCCTTTTAGGGTCTCTAGAGTGCTCAGTGTCAAATAGGACCTGGCCCTGTCACTGACTTCAACCTCACGTTCCTTGGGGGCTTTTCCTAACCTGCAGCATAGGGTCCTTGCCCTTCAGTAAGGCACATGTGGCTCTCATCACTCCTGCCTCATATTTTCCAATACAAAAAAGCTTACGTGTTTATAGTTCTCTGCACCTATCCTACATGTGAACCTGTACCTGCTTTTTACCCCCAATACCCCAATTTTGTCTAAATTTTACTCTGGAACTCTTTGTTGAAGATTTAGCTCAGGAATCTCCATGAAGCCCATTTTTACTGGGTCAAGCTCACTAGCCCTGGGCTCCCATGACACCCCCTGTGATTCCCTTGGGGATAAGAGTGCCACAGTTAAAGGGGGGACTGTGAACCCTGACTCTGTGGGCTGCATCTGGGCTATTCTCCTTCCTAGCCTGCCTGTTCCTGAGGCAAATGATTAACCTTTTTCTGCCTTTTCTTTCATCTGTAAATAATAATAATGCATCTTTACAGAGCTGTTGCAACTGTAAGTGAATTAACATGTGAAAATTTAGAATAGAATGTGGCCTATTGTAAGTGCTCAAGAAACTACAAATATTGTTTTATACACACATTTATCATTGTATTTATCTCATTTTAAAAATAATTAACTGCAACTTTTCTTTTTTCTTCTGCTAGACCGAAAGTCAGCACACTGTTTATATAAAAGAACAGAGAATAAATATTTTAGACTTTGTGTATTATATGGTCTCTGTCGCAGTCATTCAACTCTGCCTTTGTAGCATAACATCAGCCATAGACATCAGCCATAGACAATATGTAAATGAAAGTGCGTGGCTGTGTTCCAATAAAACTTTATTTACAAAAATGAGCAGCAGACTAGATTTGGTCCATGGGGTTATAATTTGCTGTTCTCTAGACTAAACTACAATCCCCCCTGAGAGTAAAAACTATGTTGCAGTAGAAGCTCAACTATATTTGTTATCTGCCACAATATCTTCTGTAAGCCATTGAGGCATGGAAGAAAAAGCATTAGTTTCCTTCCCTACCCTATGCCATGGCTGCTAGGCACTCTGTAAGTTCTGAGAGGAGGGAGAGACAAAGGCATGAATAAATGGAAGCTTACCTGTAGGTTGTGGGGCTGAGGTGTACTTTGTTGGGAAGCCCATGACTTTCCATTCTAGAAGCTGTGTTCACAGTGTCACCAAACAAGCAGTACCGTGGCATCTTGTCTCCCACAACACCTGCTAAGACTGGTCCAGTATGGACACCCACTCTGATCTGTACAGAGAGAGCATCACTGAAAAGAGACCATCTAATACTCTTGCTTTTATTTCTAAGTTAAGGTATAATTTACATAAAATAAAAAACAGATAAAATGTTTAGCTCCATGAGTTTTGACACATGTGTATATCCCTGTAACCACCAACCGAAATAAAATGTAAACTAGTTCCATTACTTCACAAAATTATCTTGTGCCCCCTCCAGTTGAGCTGTCTCCCCATCTTCTCCAGCAGAGATAACTACATTCTCATTTCTTTTACCAAAGAATGATTTGCCTATTCTAGAACAACTCATACGTACAATTATATAATATATACTGTTTTATATCTGGTTTCATTTACTCAGCATAAGATTTTTGAGATTCATCTATATTGTATTACATATCAGTAGTTCATGATTTTTATCACTGAATAGTATTCTATTGTAAGAATACGCCACATTCATTTATCCAGTCTCCTTTTCACGCACATTTATTTTTCAGTTTGAATCTATTAAAATTAAGGCTGCTATAAACATTTCTATACAGATATTTTTGTAGACATATTTTCCTTTCTCTTAAGTAAATACCTAGAAGTGGAATTTCTGAGTCACAAGGTAGAAGCATATTTAATTTTATTTAAAAAAAAAAAAGTAAAAATCCTTCCCAACAATCCTCCAAAGTTGTTTTACTATTTCATATTTCTATCAGTAATGTGACATTTCCAGTGGCTCACCATTTTCACCATCATTTGGTCTTCTCGTGGATGTGAAATGATATCTCACTGTGGTTTTAATTTGTGTTAAATTGATAACTAATGATGTTAAGCACACTGTCATACACACGTTGGCCGTTCGTATATTTTCTTTCGTAAAAAATCTATTCAATTTTTTGCCTGTTTTAAAAATTGAGCTGTCTGACATTTATTGTTAGTGTGTATGAGTTGTATACATATTTGGATATGTAATATGTATGTATTATAAATATTTTTATCAGTCTGTGGGTTTGTGTATTTATTTTCTTTAATAAGCAGAATTTTTTAATTTTGATGAATGTATTCATCTGCTTAGGCTGCCATAGCAAAATACCACGGACTGTGCAGCTTAAACAATGGAAAGCAGTTCTCACAGCTCTGGAGGCTGGAAGGCCAAGATCTAGCTGTGGGCAGGGTGGGTTTCAGTCACATCAGGACATCAGTCACATTGGATGAGGGCTCACTCTTAAGGCCTCATTTTACTCAGTAAAGGCTCTAGCTCCAAAGACAGTCATGTTCTGAGGTACTGAGTAAGAAGAGTTTCAAAGTAAGAATTTTGGGCAGGACACAATTCAGCCCATAACAGTGAAGTTTACAATTTTTTTGCCTTTCATGATCTGTTCTTTTTATGTCCTATCTAAAAAAAAAATCATTGTTTGCCCCAAAGTCATGACACTATTCTTTACTTCCATCAAGAAGCTTTATGATTCTAGATTTTATGTTTAGGTTTGTGATATATATCAAATAATTTTTTGTATATGAGGTAAGGTAGAATTGAGGTACATTTTTTCTTTCCATATGGTATTTGATGGTAACATAATCATTTTTTAAAAAGAGGCTGCCTTCTCCACTCAATGGTTTGGTGCTTGGTCAAAAATCAGTGGGCTAAATGTGAAGTCTATGTCTGGACACTTTGGGCTACTCCAGTGGTCTGTCTGCTCTCCTCCCAGTCTCACTCTGTATTTTTTTACTGTCGCTTAGTTAAGTCTTAAAATTAGTTGTGTACATCCTCCAATTTTGTTGTTTTTTATGATTGTTCAGGTTACTCTAGATTCTTTACATTTCCATATATATTTTAAAATCAACTTGTGAATATTTCCTAAGAAGCCTGCAGGGATTTTGATTGGCATTCTACTGAATCTATACATCAATTTGGGAAAAATAAACAAATATACTGAGTTTTCTGATAATGAACACAATATATCTCTCTATTTAATTAGGTCTTCTTTAATTTCCCTAAGCAATACCTTGTAGGTTTAAGCATAGAAGTCATATATATCTTTTGTTAGATTTATTCCTAGAAATTTAAGTAATTTTATTTCCTTTTTATTTCATTTTTCAATTTTTTGTCCTTAGTATGTAAAAATTTAATTAATTTTCCTGTATTTATCCTATGACCTTGCTAAACTCATTTATTAGATCTTGCAGTTCATATAATGTTTTATTGTATTTCTTGTAGTTTGTATAAGGTTTTCTAAGTGCACCATTATTTGTTCTGCGAATAATGATAATTTTATTTCTTCATTCATTTCCAGGCTTAATGTCTCATATTTCTTCTTCTTGACTTAGTGCATTGGGTATGGTTTTTCGTATACTTCAACTAGAAGTGGTTATCTTTGTATGTATTCTGCTTGGATTTGCTGAGCTCTGGATATGTGCATTGATATCCTTTATCCATGTCTAAAAATTCTCAACTATTATTTCTTCAAATACTTCTTCTTACCCATTCTCACTCTGTTCTCCTTCTAGCATTTCAGTTATATATATGAGAGTCCATTTGACATTGTCCTTAGCTCTAGTGTGTCTTCTTCCCTTTTTCACCCTGTTTTCTTCTTTGCATTTTAGCTTGGATGATTTCTATTTCTTTGTCTTCAAATTCCCTGATTGTTTCCCTCTATTGTGTCTAGTCTTTGTTAAGCCCATAAAATGAGTTTCTCACTTCTGATTTCTGATATCATCATTTTCTATTGGATATAGATATAGAGATAGATGTAAATACAGGCAGTGTGCATGTATTTCCTATATCTTCACACTTGCTTTGCCCTTTTCTTATAGACCCTTTAAAGTATTTATCAGACTTATTTTAAAGATCCTATTTGATAATTCCAACATCTAGGCTATCTCTGGGCCTGCTTCTATTGACTATTTTCTCTATTGGCTATCCACTATATTACCGTTTTCTTGTTTCTTCTTACATCTCATATTTTTCATTATTTAATTGAATGATCCATGTTGTGTGTGAAAATACAGTAGAGACTGAAGTAGATGACATTTATCCCACAGAAAATGTTACATCCCTTCAGAATCAGGCTGCTGGAATGGAGAGTAATTAAATCTAATCTATATTTGAGTTGGATCTGGGCTTTTCCAGAAATATTGGTATATTCCATTAACCACTGGTTTCAAATATTATGAAGTCTGAATCAGAACTTTCAGTACAGCAGAGCTTAGAATCTGAGCACCAGCAAGGCTCTGAGGACCCTGAAGCTGTAAAGCCAATCCACCAGCTCTTGGAGTTTTGGGAGATCTCCTTCTGCATTATAATCCAACAGTGAGATTTTCAGAAGTCTCTTTGCTCTTCAGTCCTACCCTGGCTCTCTGCACCTTGGGAAATTTTTCCCTGCCATTTGTCCTTGCCCGCAGACTTCAAAAGGTCATCGTAGTGTACTTGGTGGAGACCAAAAGTACTTCAGGTGAATTTCTCTCAGTTCTCTTACTCAACACTAGCCTTTAATGGGCTACTGCTTTGCATTTGGGAAAGGCCCCAAACACCTCAGGGACTGGGGCGCTCTCTCAGCTCTCCTCTCCTGTCCTAGTCTTTGGCTCACTAAACCTCTGCACTTGGCCTATGAGAAAGAGTGGTAGATGGGTACAGACTCTGCGGCTGGGGCTCTTTGGGATTCTAACATGTTGTTTCAGCCCTGTGACCATTAAAAATTCACTAAAATTTAAATGGGCTTATCCCTACCCTCACCTCTGGTGGATTACTTCTCCTGCTGCCCAGCCAGGATTGAATGCAATTATGGATGTCTTCTCTTTGAAAGGACTTGCCACTTCCTGGAGTTAAGTTTTTGATTCCTTTGTTTTCTGGTGGGGAAAAAAAAAAACTACCAGCATGGGAACAACAGTCTATTGCAGATTTCTACATCCTAATCAGATTACTTGTTGTGTTTACTAGCTAGATTTTCTTCTCCTTGAAAAAAATTATAAATTCCTCTAGGAATAGAGGATTATCTGAACTCTTCAAAGCACCTAGTAATACTGTCTCATGCATGGATGGACCTCAGTAAATGTATATTAAAGCTGTATGAATAAAAGAATAGAATATCTCAGTGCATAATAATTTTTAAAGTGTAGAAATGGCAGCATAATTCTGTAAAAGAGAAAATGTTTCCAGTTCTTTTCCCTATATCCTTGAATAAACCCGTGTGATATGCTGTTTCTAGTGAGTATTTAATGATGCTTCTAATTATGTCCATAGTCTTACTTTGGAATTGCTAACATCCTTTCCTTTTCTTTTTCATGGTAAATCCACCTTCAGAGTTTCCCAGAATTAATTGTCTCATTTCATTCTTATTGGTATAGCATTATTTTCATCTCTGGTGCTACGCCCCTTTCACACACACACACACACACACACACACACACACACACACTACACTTTCCATTTACACAACCACATATTTTAATTTTTTCACCAGTGGCTTACATGAGGGTGCCTTAACTGAAGCATTCATCTCTTATCTAACCTTCTTTATATCTTCCCTCATTACCTCCCATCCTGATTTTTTATTTATTATATTGGATTTTTATTTCACTGATGCACACTGTGTGTTTGCAATGAGTCATTATGGCAGCTCTCTTGTTCTTGTGACTAAGACCAGCTTTTACTTAGAAGACTACAGTGAACGCTGTAGCCATGATCTACACTGCTTCTCAGCTTCTAACTCACCATGGTCAGGGTGAAAGGAGCATATTTTCAGAATCTCCTGTAAAAATGTTATAATGTGGAAAAATTATATTCCATCTTATAATTGGCTTTTTTTAATTCCGAGTTGACCAGTTTATTTTGAGTTTCTGACTGATAATAGCAGGGAAAGGATCTAGAGATAAAAGGCAGAGAGATGTGGTTCTCAGCCATCCCGGGAGCATTAGGATCTGCTGAGCTAGCAGAAGAGGACATTCATTTTTTATCTCCAAAACTGTTCAACTTTTAGAGTGTGAACAAACTTCCAGACTTGGAAGTGCACCTTCCTGTGAGAAAGGCGAGCAGATGTCTCGCTAGTGGCCACGTGGTGGAAGGAAAGCCATTCTGAATAGCTTACGGCAGCACAGTGCCTGGCCTGCGGACTGCAGGCAGCTTCACACCTCAGCCTGAGTTCTGAACCTGTCAGATGGCATGTTGGAGACACAGTTTCCTAAGCAGGAAAAGTTGGCTGCTAAGTAAACCTGAACCACTTGTTGAAATTCTTGAACAAAAAAGCAGGAATTATAAATGAGCTGGGTTTTAAGATGGAATGAACCCTCCTAGGTAAATAGGAAGGACTGCTCAGCACTGTCCTAAATCACCAACAAAGGAAGCTTGCAGTCAACCATAGGAAAACCTTGAGCACCACAGCTCCTCTGAAATTTGAGAAAAGTTTAGACTATAGAAGCCTTAGGAATATCTCTATTAGGAACATATGCAAGAGAAGAAAAGGGACAGGATAAATTACCCATTTTAATGACGGCAACGTACCCAGTAATCACCTAAGCATATAAGTAGAATTCTACTCTTATGTGTGAGATGTGTGGCATTAAGCCAAGTACACAGTTGCTCTCTACCTGGATGGGTTCTCCAGTAACAGGATTCATCACCTCCTTTGCAGAAATCCTCATCCCCAAGGCAAAATTAGCCACTCTTTGAGCATGGCTTCCAACAGGCACTGGTACACCTCCTACCACCATATAAGCATCTCCAATTGTTTCTACCTGTCAGGTAAAAAAATAGATATTCAGAGGGTTTCCTTAATGTACTAAACATGTCGCTGTGCTTTTTTCCATTTTCCATATATTGACAAAGGGACTATATTAAAGTTGGCGATTCTTTGCTAAGGGTATGAGGAGCATCAGGGAGGAAGTGAGAAGGAAAAGGACTCAGGAAACATCCATGAGACAGCCTGTCTGCTTTTGGTGGAAACGAATCCCAGAGAAGAGGAAGCTCCTGGGGTAGTCATGTGATGCTGCATAAGGGATAACACATGCTTTGGATTCGACTTTCTGTGGAATTTAGGAGTAGGAGAACCATTAAGCTCTAGGAAAACAGTGCTTGCCCCTCAAGGGCACCAGAGTACTATCTTAGCACCGAGTATTGTAAGAGAATTCCTAAAATACGTCCAATTCCCTTTCAGCTCTTATTTTCTGACCCTATACTCATCCACACCGAACCCCAGACCAGGGCCAGACAGAGGCAAAGGGAGTCTTAGAATCAAGCATTTGCCCTGCGTGAGCACACTGTGAACACCCGACACTGCACAGACTCTTACTTTATAGACCGCGTGCACACTGGTTAATCTGTCAAACTTGGAGTACATGGAGTTCAGCATGTTCACTATCTGTATAGGTTCACAGGCAGCACAGATGTTGGTAAATGTCACCACATCGCTGAAAAGGATTGTGCAGCTTTTAAACTCTCCTACAACAGAAACCAGGCATCAGTGAGAATCAAGGAGACAGACTAATTAGTCCATGAATTCTGGATTCAGAGGCCCTTTGAGAATCAAACCTGCCTGTGCCTTGAAGAAAAAGGAGCTGGATGCCGTTCCCAATTCGGCATCACTCAACACACGTTTACTGAGTGCCCACTGCAAGCTAGTCATGCTAGGAGAATCATATCACAGGGGGCAAGCAGACCAGGCCCTCGCCCCTAAGGAGCCCCCAGTCTAATGAAGGAGACACACGGGTGAACAAATGCTTCTAGTAAGAAGTGACCAGTGCTGTGGAAGGACAGAAAGGGCCGCTAGCAAGTGGGCCAAGCAGAGCCTGAGCTGCAGGAGACCTGGGGACAGGGCTGACAGAGACTGGTCACTGTGAAACGGTGGGTCCCTGTCTTTGTATGGCAGGGAAGCTATCTTGTCCTCAACACTTGCTCCTAAATCATGCCCCTGATTCCACCTTGGCTCCCATTCATGCCACCTTCCACACAGCAGCCAGCTGCCCTGTTTAAGTCAGATCTCCCACGCTTCAACCCCAAATCTTGCATGACTTCCATTATTCTTAGAATGCAATCCCAAGTCCTTGCCATGGCCTACAGAAGGGATCCCCCACCTCTGTCCCTGCCACGTCTCTGACCCCATGCCCCTCTGGCTCCCTCCACTCTGGCCACACTGGCCTCATGGGGTTTCTCCAGCATGCCAAGTACCTCCTGCCTTCGGGCTTCTGCACCTAAGGAAAGAGGTGTTTTCTCTGCCTGACATTTTTCTCAAATATCTACAGGGCCTGTCACTCACATTTCAAATGTAACCAACTCAGTGAGAACTCTCTTCACCACCCTATATAAAATAGCCCCTAGACTGGCTGTCCTCTTAGCCTGGTTGCCTTGCACCCACTCCATAGACATGTGGCATGATATTTTGTATGGAATGGTTTATTTGGTTATCATTGGCCTTCCCACTGGAATACAAAGCTCCATGAGATGGGAGACTCTCAGTTTAGATCTCTGCTGTATTCCAAGCACCTAAAGCAAGGCCTGGCACACAGTAGATATTCAATAAATATTGAATGAATAAATTGATGACTCCTTGAATGCAACTGGGTGCCTTCTATGTCAATTACGCCTCTGGGGGTAATTTCCCCTTCGTGGAACTTTCTCTTCTCCTTGGCTTCTGGCTATCATTCTCTCTTCATATTCCTCCTGCCTTTCTGATCCCCTCGTTTTACATCTTTCCTTGGCTTCTCAACCTTCTTAAGTAGTAGATGTTCCCTAAGGAGTAATACTCCATGCTCTTCTCACTCCCTGCCCTCTAGGTGATCTTATCCCCTATTCACAGAGTCTCTGATTAACCCCGCCCACATTGCAATAACCCCCAGGTGTGTAGCTCCATGCCGCAATGTTCCCGTGAGCTCTCGCTAAGATTCCTACCTCTGATCATGCTATGTAGCACAGACATCTCAAACTCAATGGTTCTAAAACGGATCTTGTCATTCTCCCCCAACCCTGCTCTTGTTTCTGGCCCTGTCTTAAGGATAAAGCAGCCCATTTTTCCGTGCAAGAAGCCTCAGACCCATGCCTGCCTCCTCTGTCTTACCTTCCCCACCTGGTCAGTGAGGAAATCCTGCTGATTCTTTTTTCCTCTTTGCTTGCTGAGATTCAGCCTCAAGGCCCAACTCAAGTGGCTCACACTTTTGAGAGGCGCCTTCACCACTCAAACCTGCCCCTGTCTCTTTCTCTCCTGACACCTATTTCTTATTACTTTCCTTGTCCCTATGTCACCATAGCACCTTATGTGATGGAAAGAGTGTGGATTTTGGAGTTAGATGGCCTTAAAGCAGTTAGTTTCCAGCTCTTTCATTTGTCAGCTGTGCTGAACGTCAGTTTGCTTAGCAATATTATATGGACAACACCTCCCTCATTAATTTTGAGAAAAATTAATGAAACAGCACATGTTAAATGTCTAACACGGATCCCAGCACAATAATTGCTTTTTAATGCAAATGAATTTCTTTTCCTTTGGTCATTCCCACCCCCATTAACTTATTCTGCATATATGTAATAAAATCACAAGGCTGTGAACTCCTCTGTGTGCCCAGATCTGGAAGAGTACCCTGACACAGAGTAAGCTCACCAGGTGTCTCTGGTGAATGAACACAGTCCCGTGACAAATGAAAAGTGAGTTCAGGGTAAACACAAAATTCCTGCCTCTGTAAATAGTGTACTGCCCCAGAACGGTCCTCAGAGGAACCCTATGATTTCACTAGTGTGAGAGTGTATTATTTCTAGTTATAATTAAGAACCCTATTCATTGTCACTGAGTAATGAGGCCAATCTCAGGACACATCCTTAAATTCTGAGAGAACATAATGTATGTGTAGTTGACAACCATTTTTATATAATTCATGTTTCACTCCTGTAATATTTTTATTATTATCAATGTAGAGAGAACAAAGCTGAGGATAGGCAGGTGGAGTAATTAGCCCAAGATCATGTCACTTACAAGTGACAGAGCCAGAATTCAAAACCACTTCTGTCTGGTTTCAAACCTGTGCCCCTGACCACTAAGACATACCACCCTCTGCTCAGAGGTCCCTGTGCAGGAAATGGCGCCTTACCTGCAGCCACCCTTTTGCCCTCCCTCAGCTGGTTGGCCACGTGTTTGGGCAGCATGGCATAAAGCAAAGTCTCTGTTTTCTCCTTTTCGATGGCCAAGTGCTTGGAGAGGACCCGCAGCTCCTCCTTCTTCCTCTCCAGCTGGTTGGACAGCTCCATCTCAGCCAGCCGCTGCTGGTTCAGGAGGATGAGATCCCTGGTGGTGTCATGGAGGGCGATGTCAGAAAGATGCATATTGCATTCTTCCAGCTCTTGCAGGCTGTGGAGCTTCGGAGAACAGAGGTATACCATGCACTGCATGGACTCCATCCAGATCATCTGGCCTTGCCATCATGGAGAGAAATGCAACAATAAGATTATGTCACCAGCAGGGGCTGAGATGAGCTCACTGGACCACCAATCATCTCCCACACTGTACTTCTAGCTTCTGCACAATCAAGCTCCTTCTCTTTTACTCAGGGTCCCTGAGAGTTACGTGCATTTTCTGTCTCCACTTGCTCATCTCTCCTCTTTCCCCAGCAGCTCTGTCTATTGTCTACTTTGAGGTGGCTCCCATCTATCAATGGCCTCCATGCTACTGATGCCAACACAAGTTTCTTGGCCTTCTTTTTACTTAGTCCTTCTGCTGTTTGATGATGTTAACCAGATCCTCCTTCCTGAAATCTCACTTCCTAGGACTTCTCCGACACTGCTTTCTCTATGAGATTTCCCCTAATGCTTTGAATTTTTATTTACATTATTTTAATCTCATTCCTTAAGCATTAGTGTTCTTGAGGGTTCTGTCTTGGTATTATTGGTGAGCATCACATAACTGCATCCTACACATGCTGACTATGAATCTGAATTTCCAGAGAAAACTTGCTTCCTGAACTCGAGATGTGTATTTCTTTAAAAATAGATGTTTGTTATCTTATTGTAAAAGCAGTACATATTCATTGCAGAAAACAAAAAAAAGTGAAAGAAAATAGTAAAAATCACCCACAATCACACCTCACAGATAATTACTGTTAATATTTTGGAGTATATCTTTGTTTTACAAAAAAAAAAAGAGGGATTACATGGCATCTTCTTTTCATAATCTGAATTTTTCACTTAAAATATATAACATATTCTTTCGTAGTATTAAACATAGAGATGCATCTTAATTTTTGCCTTGCTCATACTGTATGTTAATACATAATAAGCTAGTATTGATTATCTTATATCTAGTTTATCATTGTATGAACAACATTGTGATGAATAAGCTTGAGGCAATCTTTGTGTATGGTCACGGTTAGTTAGTTAAAAGATATATTCTTAGGCACTTAGGGTTACTTAGACAAAGAATATGCTCATTTTTAAGGCTCTCGATACATATGCCAAAATCCCCTCTAGGGTGATTGTGGCAATACCTCCATGAACAATGTTTTTTTTCTTCTGTGCTTCCTATTAGGTATCTGTTCATGGGTATCTGCACTGAACTCATCTTCAACCCTCTCTACAAATCTCTCTTTCTATTAGTTCTTTCATTTCATATGTATTTAGTCCCTACAATTAGCCAGACACACTGTTTTCAGCATTGAGTATACAGCAGTGACTCAAACTTATAAAAATCCCTGCCTCAAGGATGTTATATCATATCCTTTTTCCAGTTAATTGCACCTTCATCACCCAGGTACCCAAGCAAGGAAGCTAATAGTTAGCCTAACGATTCCCCACATGCAGTCACCAAGTCCTGCCTTAATTATCTTATGAGTCTATCCTCCAATTGCCACCCCAGTGCTGTGACTGGAGTTTAGCAGCTTAGAGCTTCTCTCCTGTACTCCAGAAGTGGCCTCCATCTGGCCTCCCGGGATCCATTTTCTCTACACTCTGATTGATCCTTCGCACATCTCCAGAGTGATCATTCTAAATGTCGAATCTGATCATGATAAACACTTCAGCATGTTTCCAGCTGTACAACAGAGTTCAAGTCCTCATCTTGCCAGCCTGCCCTCCCATCACTCCACTCTACACCTCACCTGAGTTCCCAGAACATGTCATTCCCTTCTTGGACGTCCCCCCAGCTCTGCCTGTGCTTATCCCTGGAATACCTAATCATACCTCTAATAGAAAGACAGCTCAAAATGTGTGCCCTTTCATGCCATAAACAAAAATTTGCTCAGAATGAATCAAAGACCTAAATGTAAGACCTAAAACTATAAAACTCCTAAAAGAAAACACAGCGGAAAAGTTTCATGACATCAGATTTGGCAACAATTTCCTGGATATGACACCAAAATCACTGGCAACAAAAGAGAAAATAGATAAATTGGATTTCATAAAAATTAGAGTCTTTTGTGCATCAAAGGACACAACCAACAGTGAAAAGGTAACACAAAGAATGGGAGAATATAGTTGCAGATTATATATCTGAGAAGAGGTTAATATACAATATATTAGAAATTCTACAACTCAACCACAAAAGCAAACAACCCAATTTAAAATGAACAGAAGACTTGAATAGGCATTTTTCTGAAGAGTAAGTAAAAATGGCCAATAAGCACATGAAAAGATATTCAATATCACTCATCATTAGGGAAATACAAATCAAAACCACAATAAGATAGCACCTCACACCCATTAAGATGGCTACAATTTTTTTTAAAAGCAGACAATAATAAGTGTTCATGAGGATGTGGAGAAACTGGAACACCTGTGCACTTTTGATGGGAATGTAAAATAGAGCAACCACTATGAAAATAAGTATGGCAGTTCCTAATTTTAATAAATCCATATGATCCAGCAATGACACTTCTGGATACACAATCAAAAGAAATGATGGCAGGGACTCAGGGAGGCAAAAATATTTATAGTAATATTATTCACAATAGCCAAGTGTTAGAAGAAACCCAGTGTCCAATGATGGGTGAATGGATACAGAAAATATTGTCTATTCATACAATTGAATATTATTCAGCCTTAAAAAGGAAGGAAATTCTGACACATGCTACAGTCTGGATGAACTTTAAAGACATTACGCTAATTGAAATAGGCCAGTCACAAAAGGACAGGTACTGTATGATTCCACTTATATGAGGTATCTAGAGTAGTCAAATTCATGGGAACGGAAGGCAGAATGCTGGTTGCCAGGGACTAGAGGAAGGACAAAAAAGGAGTGATTGTTTAATAGGTACAGAGTTTCGGTTTTGCACAACATGAAAAAGTTCTGGAGATGGATGCTAGTAAAGGTAATACAGCCTGTGAATGTGCTTAATACCAATGAGCTGTACATTTAAAAACGATTAAAATGGTAAGTTTTATGTTGTGTAAATTTTACTACAATTAAAAACGAAATGTGTGTGCTACTAATAATGAGTTAGATGATCATGCTGCTATATAAATTAAATTAATTAAATTAAATTAAAACCAATAGTACCTCATGCATTCTGAAAATGTTGGTAACAGATCAGAATTTTATAATTATATAACATATAATTTTATAGTTATATATACATGCAACTATATTACACATATAGTTTATGTCTAAACCAGAGATAGTTGAGGAAATAAAATATATTTTTTATAGGTCAAGTGGAAATGTCTGAAAAAAGAAAATGTGCTCTCAACATAGTCCCTACCCCACTTTTTGGGAAACTGGAAAACTGCCTCTTGCCTTTCTGATCAATCTTTCAAGCAGGCATGGAGCAACAGGAAAGGAGTGAGTGATTACCTCGAAGTTTGAGCGTGGGCTGACTTTGCCGTGCTACAGGCATCATTTCTCTTCGCGTCTTCAGGACAAATTGACTGTTGATAAATTCGCGGATGCTGAAAATGTTGAAGGCAATTTGAGGATGAATGATGGAGAAATACTCATTCAGTTGAATCTTCTGGGTTTGGAGTCCTGGTACATACTTCTGAATGTTCACTCCAGCTTGCTTGACCTGTAGCTATCCACAGAGGACAGGTTAAGACAGAGAAATAGAAAGCAACCCTCCCTCCCCATAAACTTTCCCTTGGAAATAACATTCTAGCCATGTTCTGTGTCTCACTATGGGGAAAGGGGGTCAGTAATGGAATCAACAACATGGAAGTAATAAATTTTTTGAATCAATCAAATCTGTGCTAATGTTTGAAAGAGGAAAGAATAGTACAAGAGTGCTCAGAGGCTTATTTCTGACTAAAGAGAAATGAGGTTCCAGCTCTCTATTGGACTAATAGTTCCTCTGTAGCTCTCTGAGACAACTCTGTCTCTCACTCTGTCTCAATTACTAATGAAGAAACTAGAAAATTCTGCAGCATTGGATGTAACGCCCAGGCCTAGGTGAAGAAATCCATCAAAGGGGTGGGGAGATGCCTTTCACCGCTATCTCCAGTGAACACACAGAAGGAAGAAGTAAAATGGTGTCTTTTAAATGAGTTCTGAATCAATTCAGTTGACATATATTTTATCCATGGGAATGGATTAACAATCCAACTTAAATGGTTATGCTCACAACTCTCACAGAGCAGTGGCATGAGCTGACATGGACCTCTCCCCCATGTTCAAGGTGCAGAATGTGAAGCTCAGTGGGATGGTGACACACATGGTGGTCACGAGGATGGGAAGAGATCATGGGTAGCATTCCACCCTTTGGTTGCTACTGACTGTGTTCTGCTGTCTCTTTATGTAGTGAATTTTAGCATCACTTCCTTTTCCCCTTTTTTCTAATGGTAAACTTTCCCATGCATTTACTCGTTCAAACCTCCCTTTCTACCCTATCAAAAAGATCCCACATTCTGGTTTCTGGAGGATATCACAACATGACAAGGAAATCAATGGTCCTGCCAGGGTAAACCCTAGTCTCCGAAGCCCTGGGAATTTCTCAGGGACTTGAAAATCTTCATAGATTTATAAAATACTGTAAATCATGCTCACTTTCCTGGCTTAGCCCCAATTCTAAGCTACAGAGGGAAGAATCTCTTACTGATTCATCAAATACGATGTGGAAAGGAAAAGCATTGCAGAATGTCTTCTCTTCAATCCAGAGTTTCTCAGGATAAACTGGCTCAAAGGCATTTGCGACATGCCCTGGAGAGAGAAAAAGAAAGTCCCGATGAGAAGCAGCTTCCTCCCCGACCCTTGCAGAGAGCAGAGCTTGGGATAGGGATAGTATCTTAAGTGTTTCACAGGCGAAGTACAATCCCCCTTCCTTTGCACAGGCTCCCTCAGCATCTCCAGATGGCCATGGCAATTCTTCTTCCAAATTAAAACAAACAGAAAACTTGCTACCAGGTTGAGAAACCCTCCTGCCCCCTGCCAAGTTTCTGCCCGCTGCTGAAGAGTTTCTGGGCCAATTGAGTACGTCTCGCCATGAACACAGAGTCGGCTTTGAAATGGTGACAGCCAGACAATGAGCTAGCAGAGCAGAGCGTGTGCTCCAGGCCCAGCATCAGGGACATTTGCCATGGAGCTTTTTAGACTGACAGTTTTGGGTGGCACGTGAAAATTTAACCAACAGTCCTATTTGGCAGGGGTTAGAGATTCGAAATGGAGCCTTTTTGATATGAAAATCTCCTAGACAAAGGATGTCAATTGCTTGTTTGACTCACTTGCCATGGCTTGAAGGATGCAAAATGCAACCCTTTGAGCCCTGCAGACCTTCTCCCAGATGCGTGTCACCTGTCCCACTGAGCCGTGACGCAGGGCACCCTAACTCCCTTCTCCCAGCTGATCAGAGTCCTTATTCAGACTCAGGCATCAGGTGCTAATCGTTAGACCAGCTCAGTGCCCACAGGGGTACTTTAGCAAGACTAATGCTAATACTCATTTTGCAAGTGAGAAGATAGAGACTCTGTCCAGGGTCACATACTTCCTTAGGCACAGAGCCAGAAACTTGCTTTCTTGGCTCTTGATCTAGTGTCCTTTGCTGGGCATTAGGGCTGTTAGCCACAGATCTCCAGTCCAGAAATGTCCCCCAATGGAGAAGGCCTGACTGCCGAACAGGAGCTGTGGAAAATTCATCGTTCCTGATGGTACATCAGTGCTCAGCTTCCTTCTCTCCATCTGTCTCTAGCTGGGACCGATTCCAATTGTGTCTCCAAAAACTTTTTCCTAGGACAGGGGAGACGGTGTCTCCATGTCACCCAGCACAAATAACAAGGGGCGATGGAAGGACAATTAGAGCCTGACATTTTAAAGTTAAAAACCATGGCTGACAAATCCTAGCTTTGCCAAAACTAGTGCCATCATAATCGCAGAGGGTTTGGCCCCATCAGTGTACACTGGCCTGTACTCCTGAGAATCAAGCAATCATTCTGAGATCAGAGCTGAGCGTGGGAGAACCACTCACTTACCTTTTCCAAACGTGACTATGCTTCTCACAACATCCCAGTGGGATTTTTTCACAGGACAAGCAGAAATATTCAAATATTTCTTCTTCATTCTGAGAAGAGCTGCCTGGAAGGCCTGCAGATGGCAGGGAGACAAGCACCTGGTCACATGACTAGAGAAGCACAAACCCCATTTGCTGTGATGGGGTCCACCTTCAGATAAGGAAATGTATCCATGGCCAGAGGAACAGCATGAGGGCTTACAAGATCAATTCTACCAAGACTTTAGAGTTCCCGATATTTTCTAATCAAATTAGTCTTCCTGCTATTTCTCTATCAAAGAAAGCAATAACTTTTTAGAAAATCTCAAGAGGGAACTGGGATGGTATCTGGCAAGAAATCACGCTTGAACATTTCTTCCTGTGGTGGAAGATTCTGCAGTGAAAAGACTCTGAGATGGGCTTTGAAAATACTCTAAGGAATCTCAGACTAATCCTAATCTGGATATTTCCACAAGCTGTGTGCATGGAGAGCTGTTCACTTAACATACGTGGTACATAAGCAGGTAATGGTCACCCGACCAGGTGCAACTGAGGTGGCCAACCACAAGGTCTTGAGTTGACTCTGGACCTATGACTGGTTTCAGCTGCGGGCACTGGAGGCGGGAAAGATCAATTTATTTGAGGAGGATTGAAAAAACAAAGCCATCAAGTTTACATTTCAAATCCCCCCCTTTTTTTTTTGAGATGGAGTTTAGCTCTGTTGCCCAGGCTGGAGTGCAGTGGTGTGATCTCCACTTACCACAACCTCTGCCCCCTAGGTTCAAGTGATTCTCCTGCCTCAGCCTCCAGAGTAGCTGGGACTATAGGCACATGCTACAATGCCAAGCTAATTTTTGTATTTTTAGTAGCGATGGGGTTTCACCATGTTGGCCAGGCTGGTCTCGAACTCCTGACCTTATGATACATCTGCCTTGGCCTCCCAAAGTGCTGGGATTATAGGCATGAGCCACTGCGACCAGCCGGTTATTCTTATAGGTGAAAATTTTCCAGGCTCATGTACATCCCAGAAAGCTTCCCAGTATATATCCAGCTAAGCTTAACCCAGCAATTCTCAACTGGGAATGATTTTACCCATTACCCCGACTATGCAGACACTTGGCAATGCCAGGAGACATATATGTCTGTATGTGTGTGTGTGTGTGTGTGTGTGTGTGTGTGTGTATACATATATGTATTTTTTTTGCCACAAATGAGGGGATGAGGTTCTACTAGCATCTAGTAGGAAAAGACCAGGAATGCTGCTAAACATACTATAATGTAAAAGACAGCCCATCAACAACAAAGAATTATCTGGTTCAAAATGTCCATAGTGCCAAAATTGAAAAACTCTGCCTTGATTGCATTATTAGAAAGTCCAGTTGGTCTCCCATCCAGGTACTAACCAGGATCAACCCTGCTCAACTTCCAAAACCAGGCACATTCAGAGTGGTATGGCCATAGACACTCATAAGTGGGAGTTGAACAGTGAGAACACATGGACACAGGGAGGAGAGCATCACACACCAGGGCCTGTCAGGGGGTGGCAGGGTAGGGGAGGGAGAGCATTAGGATAAATACCTAATGCATGCAGGGCTTAAAACCTAGATGATGGGTTGATAGGTACAGCCAACCACATGGCACATATATATCTATGTAACAAAAACCTGCATGTTCAACACATGTATCCCAGAACTTAAGGTAAAATTTAAAAAACAAAAACAAGCCAGGCATGGTGGCTCACGCCTGTAATCCCAGCACTTTCGGAGGCCGAGGCGGGTGGATCACGAGGTCAAGAGATCGAGACCATCCTGGTTAACATGGTGAAACCCTATCTCTACTAAAAATACAAAAAATTAGCTGGGCATGGTAGCACGTGCCTATAATCCCAGCTACTCAGGAGGCTGAGGCAGGAGAATTGCCTGAACCCAGGAGGAGGAGGTTGTGGTGAGCGGAGATTGCGCCATTGCACTCCAGCCTGGGTAACAAGAGCGAAACTCCGTCTCAAAAAAAAAAAAAAAAAAAACAACCAAAAACAGAAAGTCCAGTTGATTCTGTCATTTGCAAAGATTGTTCCAAGACTGGTAGCTCAACTTAAGGGCAACTGTGCTTTCTAAAGGCATAGCAAACCCAGTACCTCTTGGTCTCTCTCGATGACCTGATTGTCCTGTAACCTGTCTGTCTTTGTCTTTCTCATCTTTCCACGAGCCCTTTGTACAATCAGAAACACAACATGCTCCTTCTTCCCTGTCCTCTCCACTTCTTCATTCATGTCAAGAATGTCCATGGTTACATCAGTGTCAAAGAAGTCTTTGGCCACAGCCTCAATGATACCTGCAGCAGAAGGACACCTATTGTCGAGGGATGGTCAAAGGCAATTGTATCAGCAAAAATCATAAAATAATCAAGTTGTAAAACCTCTGATGAATATTCTGATATTTGCCAAGCCCAGGCCCTGCTTTAAGTCAGGCATCAGTGACAGCCAACTAAATAAATATATGCAGAGACTGAAGTTGTACATGTTTGGATACCAAATATATCATGCCACTTTAGTTTCTAGTTTGCGTCTACTCATTTGTTTGTTATTTCAGGTAGGCATTTAACTGATTAAACAAACAAACTCTAGAGGTAATGTAAGCAAAATTCAGTTGTAAAAGCATTAAGGATCAAGTTTTAAAAAGTGTTCCTCTGGGAATCTATCCCAGGGTTATATACAAAATATAGGAAAAGTGTGGCTGAAGATGTTCATGATAGCATTGTTTACAATAGCAAAAGATTAGTATCAATGGAAAGTTTAATAATAGGAGATTAGTTAACATAATGACAATATGGAATATCATTCGGCCATTTAATACGTGGTTTTAAAGACTATGTGAAAATGTGGAAACATGCTTTTTCTACAATGCTAAATGCAAATAAAGAGCTGACACAATATATGCAGAATTATCACAACTATCTAAAAACTGTATAGTTTAAAATGTTGAAAGAAAAATACAAATTATCCCTTTTTGTGGAATTTTGGAAACTTACTTTAAAAGCTCAAGGACTTTGGGAGCAGTGGTCAAGATGATATAAAGTCACGCATTCTAAGAGAGTTTTAACTTCTTACCCATAGCCAGCTATTAGCTATCCTGGACAATCTGTGGGGAAATTTTCCTCATTTCAGAGGCCCCATAGCTCTGGGGCCAGCTAAGCCATTTCCATACCTGGGACAATGTGGCACAGACCACTTCTATCCGAGTAGTAATGGAGAAACGTTTTCCCGTCTGTTCCTCTCTCCACACGAAACGATGGTGCATTCATCTCCTAATTAAAAGACACACATTTTTCCCAATGGACACAAATTGTATAAATTATGCTTTTGAGGCTTTGTGAAACAATAGTATTTATTCATTCCATCATACAGAACTATATCCCAAACCTCTCTCCAATCACATAAAAACTCCCATGGTTCCTGCTCCTGTATGTCAGGAATTTTACACTATACCTCCTGCACTTAAAACGGCAAATACTAGTTCCATTTTAAGAGAAAGAAACTGGCCGGGTGCGATGGCTCATGCCTGTAATCCCAGCACTTTGGGAGGCCGAGGCGGGCAGATCACAAGGTCAAGAGATCGAGACCAACCTGGCCAACATGGTGAAACCCGTCTCTACTAAAAAAAAAAAATAATAATACAAAAATTAGCTGGGCATGGTGGTGCGTGCCTGTAGTTCCAGGAACTCGGGAGGCTGAGGCAGAAGAATTGCTTGAACCTGGGAAGCGGAGGATGCAGTGAGCCGAGATTGCACCACTGTACTCCAGCCTGGCGCCTGGCTACAGAGCGAGACTCTGTCTCAAAAAAAAAAAAAAAAAAGGAGAGAAAGAAACTAAGACTCAGGGAAGGTAACCCTAGATCAATGGTAGAACGACATTTGATCCCCAAATGAGCCTTTGCACCATGCTATGCTGTTTCGACCCATATTCCAAGAGCAGCTGGCTGCTGGTAACAGGAAGCCTTAGTGAGTCTCTGCCATGCTTGATCTGTGACCAAGTGACCATGGGCATCTTCACTCTCCAATACATCAGGAATCAGAGGAATTTGCAAGTAGAATTAATTTTTTGTTCTAGAAGGATAATGTCATCTGTGATGTCAATTTAGACATTTAGAAAGTAGAAGCTTCAAGGATACATCAGAAGAGATCCCCTTTCTCCAGAAACAAATGTTGACGTTCACGTACGTATTATGTCACAGTGAATGAGGTGAATACTAGGAAAGAAGGATAGAGACTTTGCCTGGAGGGGTCTCTATCTAGTTAGTAGGCAACTCAGCACCCTGGACACACAGTTTTGGTCCAAGTGAGGGAATAGGTAAAGGAGATGGGTTCCTTCCAAGATCTTCCATGGTGAAAGGCTAATAGTTAAAATGGGTTTCTTTTTTTCCCCAAACACTTTTGTTATCTTTTTTTTTCTTTTGAGACAGGGTCATGCTCTGTTACCCAGGCTGGATTGCAGTGGCGCGATCACAGCTCACTGCAGCCTCTGCCTCCTAGGCTCAAGTGATCCTCCCACCTCAAGCTTTCAAGTGGCTGAGACTACAGGCATGCCACCACCATGACCAGCTAATGTTTTTTTGTATTTTTTTTTTGTGTGTGGAGTTGGGCCTTTGTTGTGTTGCCCAGGCTGGTCTCAAACTCCTGGGCTCAAATGATCTTGCCCACCTCGGCTTCTGAAAGCGCTGAGATTACAGGCATGAGCCACCCCACCCAGACCTCAAATCCTTTTTGTTTATAATTCCAAAAGTATGTACCTAGAGAAAGTACATATATTTATTTGTATGTATGTGTGTTTACATCTTGACTAAATGTAAAGAGTAGTCAAGGCAGCACATATAAAAAGCATTGATAAAACAGGAAATTAAGTTAATTTAAAAATTATATCCAAATCCTACATAGTGAAAATAAAGTAAGAGATCACAGAAGGCCTGGAAGAAAATCCACGAGATCCTGCTTCAGGATCTTACCCCTTCACTCCTTACTCCCAGCCCAGAGACACTTCCAAAAGTTTTTGCTTTTAGTTCTTCTGGTCAACGTCACTAAGTCTCTAAACAATATAGTTATACTTTTATTTCTTGATTAAAATAGGGTTTTTTTAAAGTGGAGAATTAGGGCAAAGGATAAAAGAATTAAAAAATATTTTTGCCTAAAGAGACAATTTATAATACTTTGCCCAGAAGAAAGCACTATAAAGCTGTTAGGTATCATTACAGAACAGAATAGAAAGCCCAGAAATAAAGCCATACACCTAAAGCCGTGTGATCTTTGACAAAGTTCTCATTATTCCAAAGAATAATGAGACCAGCGCAGACCAGGGTCTTTGGAGACATATGTGAGTTTGGGTCCAGCTCAGCCACCACACCTGGGTGATTTGGAGACAATTACTTAACCTTTCTAGACCTCAGTTTTCTCTTCTGTATAGCAGGAAAAATAAGACTGCCCACTCTCACGGCATTAAGAGAATAAGTCAATGTGGACGCATTACTTAGCCCAACACCTGCCTCATTAGCACTCAATAAAAGTTAGCTAAAGCATAACAAGATTAAAGGTTTTCAGTTATAACCATAAATGTCTTAAAGGCACTGCCAAATTACTAGATAGACACAAAAAAGTGAACATTATCTTATTTTGTTATTTTTGCCTAAAGAGACAACTTGTAATACTTTGGCCAGAATAAAGCACTGTACAGCATTAGGTATCCTTGCATGTATTTTCTTCCAACTTGTATATTATAAGATTTAAATGTTTTATTTACCTTATTATATGCAAAATGTCCTCAAATACCACCAGAGAAGTTCTGTTCTATCGCTTCTCTATAGCATCACTGATAAGTGGGAGCTAAACATTGAATACACGTGGACATAAAGATGGCAAATACAGACACCGGGGACTACTGGAGGAGGGAGAAGGGGATGGGGGTCAAGGATTGAAAAACAATTGGGTGCTATGCTCACTACCTGGGTGTCAGGCTCAATCATACCCCAAACCTCAGCATCATGCAATATACCCATGTAAAAAACCTGCTTATGTACCCTCTGAATCTTTACAAATAAACTGAAATTATAAAAAAGCAAAGAAAAAAAGATGACAGAAGAAATATATGTATTACAAAAAATATTAAAGGGCCCTAACTGTATTTCTTTATATCCTAATTGTTGTGCTTTAGCTAAGAAATTGAAAGGAAGTTGTCCCGCAAATTATCGTAATTCTTAAACTGGCCATATTGAACAGAGAGAAAACAAAGGGGAAGGAATAGAGTTATTATTTATTTATGGAAAGCTGATTTTCTGGGCTAATTACAATGTTAGAGACATTTACATCTTATCTCTTGTAATCCACACATTGCTATGAGGTAGGTTATTTTCTTCCTTATTTCTTTTCTATTCTGTTCTTTAATGATACCTAACAGCTGCTTGTGTCTAATGCCTTAAAAAGTGCTTGAGACATAGTATCATTCAGTAAACACTAGTCACTCAATAAGTATTTATTAAATAAAATAAATTGAGATTCAGAGATGGCAACCAATTTGCCCAGGATCACACAGCTGGTAAGTTGTAGAGCCAGTGGGACAGCCGCGTGGGCCCGCGTGACCCCACACGCAGGGCTCTTTCCATTCCCTCTACCCTCGAGTAGTTCACATGGTAACAATAGGACAGGCCCAACTATTCATGACTCATAATAGAAGTCAATTAAAGTTTCCAAGCCTCTGATTCCTTATATGAAAAATGGAGAAAATAATACTTTGCCCATTTATCGTCTATAAAAGGGAATAATGGTTGCTGAGACTTTATAGCATCTGCAACCCCGTTTTGTCCCCATGACAACCCTGAAAGGGTGGATATGAACACCAATATAGAAATGGTGGGCCGGGCACGGTGGCTCACGCTTGTAATCCCAGCACTTTGGGAGGCCGAGGCGGGTGGATCACAAGGTCAAGAGATCGAGACCATCCTGGTCAACATGGTGAAACCCCATCTCTACTAAAACTACAAAACATTAGCTGGGCATGGTGGCGCGTGCCTGTAATCCCAGCTACTCAGGAGGCTGAGGCAGGAGAATTGCCTGAACCCAGGAGACGGAGGTTGCGGTGAGCCGAGATCGCGCCATTGCACTCCAGCCTGGGTAACAAGAGCGAAACTCCGTCTCAAAAAAAAAAAAAAAGAAATGGTGAAGAAAGATCTTGGTGAAATATAAAAGGCCCTAAAATTAAACTATTTTCTATAAAGTAATAAACGGTTATTATATATATAAATGCTCCTTAAACTTTTCTTGACTAAAAAATAAAAGAGAGTCTAGGCATTTGAATTTCCAATGATCTCTACAAACAAGAAACCCATGGAAAGCACTCCAACGGACATATCCCAGTAGGGAAATTAGTTTCTTAACACCTCAGTCGGTCACCCACGGGTTAATCAGAGTTGGATGGTTTCCGATTCTGGCTCTGAGCCCTGTCAAGTCTTCCTTTCTGATACATGAATAATATGAATCTGGCTGCATATGCAATTTATCAGCTCCATCCCAGCCAGGAAACCTTAGGAGAGCTTTTGCAAATACACTGAAACCTGACTGTTTTCCAGACTTTGTTCCAATTGCAATCAGTCTCCAGGATTTAATTCCAAATCCATACCGACCCCTATCTGAAAAGGCCATCCCTTCAGTTTTTGTGGGCCAGTTTGTAAAAGTGGCCAACAGGTGTTTCTTTTTCATTCTCTTCCAAAAAGAACTCCTGGGCCCACCAACACTAGGGACCAAGGATTCTGCAGATGGGAGGGTTCTCCTGCAACTGCGCATCTATTGGGGGAGGCGGGGAGCTGGCCTAGCGGGACTGCCACAGCATTTGTTTCCTCTTGGGCAGCCAAGACCAGACTCAAGTGGCCTTACCTGATAGGAGAGTGCCAGGTAACTGTGGAGGGCATCCAGGTTTTCCATAAACTCCATGAGATTTCCTCCGAGTGTCCGAAGCATCCTGTCATAGCCAGACATCTTACAGAATTGAAAGAAGTATTCTCCAAAGAGTTTCAGGATGGCTTCCATGGAGACTCCTGTAGCATCCAAAGCATACTCACTAAATAAAATCCCCTGGGAGGTGTGTGCTGTCCTTTGTGTGGTCTTCATTTACTTCCAGGGGTTTCGCATCCTGGCTGTGCGAACCTATTGAGCTACGCTCTAAGCCATCAGTTTCTTCATCAATAAAATGCAAATAATCACCTCGATGTCATGGGGCCTTTGTGAGGAGCTCAGTGCAGCCCGGCACTGGGTAGGTGCTTGTGATACCTGAGTCTCCATGACAAATATTTCCTCAAAGTCAAGAAGGGGATGCGGAGATGCTGTGCCTGCTTAGCTGCTGAAGCCAGGGCCAGAACAAGCTTCACTCTGGGTGGGGATCACTCCCAACGTCTCCCACATCTTTAAATACAAACAGTCTCTAACAAGAATGCAAGGCTGCCTCTGCGAAATAACTAATACGCAATGAAAAAACTATTCCTTCAAGGCTATAGGATCCTGATTTACCAAAAAGATGATACCAAATACTTACAGTGACTTTCCCTTTCTGTCTTGACCTCATCAGATCCTGGCCTCCCTGTGAGGCCCGGCATTCACATTCCATTCTCCATAAAGATTTCTCTCAATAGCCCAGGTCACACTGAATTCTCTCTTCCTAAGTGTTGCATTTTGTTTCTTCCTAACTTATGGTAATTCTGGAGAGAAGCAACCTGGTCCTACATGTTTTCTGTGCTAATTACAGAGTAGGTGCCTGATGAACACCTGGGGGTAGATTTGCAGTGTTACGGGGGCTGCTGCCCACTTCCCATCCTCCCCGGTCTGCGCTGTTGGAATAGACAGTGAGCAATTGTTCGCTTTATTGGAGAGACTATAAACAATTTTTTTCTTCTTTTTTGAAACGGAATTTCACTCTTGTTGCCCAGGCTGGAGTACAATGGCATGACCTTGGCTCCACCTCCTGGGCTTAAGCTAGTCTCCTGCCTCAACCTCCCAAGTAGGTGGGATTACAGGCATGTGCCACCACACCCGGCTAATTTTGTATTTTTAGTAGAAATGGGGTTTCACCATGTTGGTCAGGCTGGTCTTGAACTCCTGACCTCAGGTAATCCACCTGCCTCAGACTCCCAAAGTACTGGGATTACAAGTGTGAGCCATCACGGCCAGCCTGCCAGCAAACATTTTTAAAGAATATTTTATAGTTCTGAAAACACACATTAATTAAGGTTCTTTTACTCAATGATTGCCAAGCTCTTATAAGGTAGCTAACCTTATTATCATGTCCTTTTTACAGCTGAGCCTATGGGGGCTGAGTCATCTTTGTGAACTGACTCCAGTCACAGAGTTGCCGAGGCCAGTTTGTTGAAGAGGCTCCAGCTCTAAGTTCAGCGCTTTGTGTACCACATCCCCCAGCCTCTGAAGCAGCAATGAAAGAAGCAAGGCATCTCCCCAAAGCAAGGGCTGCTTATGCGTTGGCATCGTTGACACAGGAGACAGGGCATCCATCCATGCTGCTGGCCTGGAGCCCCTGTGAAAAACCTCCTTATTTACATTGGGGCTGTGACACATGAAAGTCCTGGGGGCTGGGGCAAATGTCCGTAATGCCCAGGTTTATGGAGGGCCTGAAGAAGTCACAATCTCCAGTATCTGTGGTTGCATCCTTGAAAACCTCTATGATGCTCTGGCTGGATCTGGAATTCACAGCAAGGGACATTCCAGGTCTCCTGAGCTACCAAGGGCTAAATCCTGCAGAGGACAGACCAAGGAAGTCTGGGCACTCTCCAGCCCCTGCTTGCTTCCTAGGATGGTCTGAAGAGCAGATTCCCTACAGTTCATAGTCCACAGCCAGACCATGGGGCAGATAATTGTTCTGTCATCTGAGCAGGGTAGAGTCCCCACTGAACTGATCTAATTTTGTCAGAGATGAGTTATACATATTTTCCAAAAATTGATTAGCCTCATCTGAATCTAGACAAAGCTTGGGAAGGCAGAGGAAGCAGTGGTAATGGCCTTTGTTAATTGCCTCTGTTGTGTTCTTTGCTTGTGGGTGCATCCTAGCTGGCTGCAGGCAGGCTTGTCTATACCAGTATTCAGGGGCCACCTGCTAACTCCTAGGGGATCTGAGACAAATTCTACCAAGTTCCTTTCCAATGCTTGAGTCTCTGGAAGGAGAATTGCTAAAAGGTAAATGGACAGATGCAAAATTGTCCTTCTGCTCTCCTGCTTCCATCCCTCTGTTCCCTCTAAATCTAGCTTATTCAGACTGAGAATAAACAGCTGTGCTGTGCAGCCTGGAGGCTGGAGCTCTGAGCAGGTGCATCCTGTTACCTGCCAGGAAAAGCATGGGTCCCAGTGGCCCCCCCTTCTCCCAAGTACCTCTCCCAGGAGGACTGGGCTGCCTATAAGCCAAGTAAAGTCATATTCAAGTGAGAGTGTCAGCTTTGGGTAAAAGACTGTCTGTTTGACTTTCAAATCTTTAAACTTACAAAAACCCAGGAGGTTGTTTGTTCCGGGCTCTGGTTATTTGGTTTGTGGATGCCCAGCTCTCTTAACAGGAAAGGGCATCTGGCTGACAGAGGAACTGTTTCCCAAACAAGGGTCTTGAGTTTGAGTGTGATATTTTCCTCCTGTAATGGGTTTGGGGCTTCTTCTAGAATTCTTGGTTGAGAGTGCTTGTCCAGCAGAGGACAAAGTCCTCTTTAAAAAAATATCAACATCTGTCTTAGTCTTTTATACAGTTTTGCCTCACTGTATTTAAAATTCTAAGAGCCTGCTAAGTCATGGGGGACCTAGATATATAGGAAATGGTTAGAAACTGCAAGAAAGAACTAAACTAACTTAGATGCCTTAAAATGTTTTTTGATAGTGCAGGGAGGAATTTATACTATGTTTAGTATTCTTTCATGTAAGAAAGAAGGGAAAACAAGGAAATAATCATCTATCTGCCTACTTGTACAAAATTAAACCCCAGAAGGATAAACCTGGATCTACTGAGATTAGTTACCTACAGGACATTGGTGGGAATGGGGGTGGAAAGATTAGAAAAATTGTGGAGTTGAGGGGAAATGACATTTTCTTGAGCATAACTTTTTGAGGCCAGGAGCGGTGGCTCATGCCGGTAATCACAGTTCTTTGGGAGGCTGAGGTGGGCAGATCACCTGAGGTGGGAAGTTCAAGACCAGCCTGACCAACATGGAGAAACCCCATCTCTATTAAAAATACAAAATTAGCCAGGCATGGTGGTAGGAGCCTGTAATCCCAGCTACTCGGGAGGCTGAGGCAGGAGAATCGCTTGAACCTTGGAGGTGGAGGTTGCAGTGAGCCAAGATTATGCCATTGCCTTCCAGCCTGGGCAACAAGAGTGAAACTCCTTCTCAAAAAAATAAATAAAATAAAGTAAATTTTAAAAGAAGCTTTTTTTTTTAAAAAAGCGTTCTGGTTTGGGGAGTCATGTTAATGTTTCATATGCTTAAAATAAATATAAGATCCACAAAGATAGAGAAAACCCCTAAGACAGAATACAAACAGAAACAAATTCACAGAATAGCATTTGAACAGAGCAGTTTTGAATAACATAATTACCCAGGAAAAAAATTAACCCAGTAATATTTGAACATAGCATTTCCACTGCTGTGTCCTCAAGCCCAAAACAAAAAGAACTTTAAACAAATATTTGACTGTAGTTAGGTAGGCTTCCTTTCCACAGCAATGTGGGCTAGCAATTCTGAGACTGTGTTGTGAACATTCATGGATTGAGAATACAAGTAAATACATTGTGGATAGCGGGAGCCAGGTTCTTCACTATCTGAGAATGAAGTTACAGCTATGGAAAGGGGAGGAATGGAATGAACCCTGTGCCTCTAGATTAGAAAATCTAACATAATAAAATGATGAAACCTATCATGGTTATAGATAGATAGATAGATAGATAGATAGATAGATAGATAGATAGATGTGTGTGTATATGTGGGTGTGGGTGTGTGTATATGACATCTGTTTTCCAGCACTGTCCACTAAGAGGCCCTAAGAGCAGTGACACCCCAGTAGCAGTGGGCTTACCCAAAACCTCTTGGTTTTTAAATGTCCTTCTCTAGTAAAAGGAATCAGGGCCTTGGAGAAATGGCAGATTCCAGGGCTGGGGCAGGGAAAGGATGAGATCGGCCTGTAACATCTTGTTATGCAAGAAAGTAAAGAAGTGATCAAAGAATGATGAGGACATGCCAAAAGTACACAGCGGCCAGTTTAGGGGGCTCTCATTGGCTAACTCTTGCAGCATCAAAATAAGTAACAAAAGGAAAGGATTACAACCTATTTTCAAAAAATAAGAATCACAAATCTGCATTGATATAAGTAAATAAATGGGGGAAAGGCGGGAGACTCTTCCTTACAGAAAGTCAACGAATAAATACAAAAGGAATAATATTCTTAGAAAATCACCATTTGACTTCCATCGTAAGTGTCAATTCAGACAAGAATCACAAATAAATACTAAAATTATGATAGAGGGAATATGAGAAATGACAAGATATTTGCATAATCTGAAAGTATCTCCTCACAAGACACTAATTACAAAGCGAAAAGGTAACTTTGCCATGGAGAAAGCTGGCAAATTCTACGTAAACCAGTAATCAAAGTTAGCATCACTAATAACAGGACAGATCAATGCAATATGCCTCCTAATATGATAAACTGAGAAGGGCAAAAGATCACATCTGTAATCTGCCTACCAATAAAGTATATCCTGAATTATATCATGAGGAATATCAGATAACCCTGAATTGAGGAACACTTTGCAAAATAGCTGACCATAACTTTCCAAAGATACTAAGTTATAAAACATAAAGAGACTCAGAAACTGTTCCAAGTCAAAGAATACTGAAGAGACATGATAACTGACATGATCCAGGATTTCCTTTTGTTCTAAAGGACATCATTGGGTCAACTGGAAAAATCTCGATAAGGTCTATAGATTAGATAATAGCACCATATCTGTCTTCATTTCCTGAGTTTGACTGTTGTACTGTAGTTATTTAAGAGAATTTTTAAGGAAAAAAAGCATCACATTTGCAATATACTAACAATTCAAGAAAAAAGTATAAACATAGATACAAAGAGAAGGATAGACACTATAAAGTAAAATGTCAACATTTGGGGAATATGGATAAAGGCTTTATGGGAATTCTTTGTACTATTCTTGTAAACCTTTTGTAAGTTTGAAATTATATCAAAGTAGAAAAGCTTTTGTTGATTGCTCTGAAAAGACCATAGGGAATCTTATATAATAAGATCAT